AAGCATCCAGCGAGCGAAAAATACGCCGAAGACGCCGGCGTATTGTCATCATGGACGAAACCGTGACTGTGCTCGGGATTTCTCAACGGCGGCGGGTGCTAGCGCTTGCGACTTCGTGGTTTTCGCTAAACGCGCTTACTAAGACTGTGTATGTGTACGTGAGGTGCACCTGCTCGGTTTTATTAGCTGAACTACCGCACATCAGGAATATACCCAGCGGCATTGTGAGTACTTCGAGATATATTTTTCTTTGTGATAAAGAAGTCAGTTGTCCCTGTTTGATGTGATCTCTTTCGTCTACCGCTCCTTGCGCCGGGTTTCAACAAACGTTGCTTTTCATCACCTTTTTGAGTTATAATATGCATGTAAAACTAAATGTCTGCAATAAATTTTGAATAATGTTTTGAACTGCATTTTGTCTTTGGTTCACAGTCATTTGCGCGTCTAAAGGGGTGATGGGCTAAAGGGTCTGACGGGTTGAAGGGCTGTGGGGCTAAAGGGTTTTTCTATGGGGCATCCCTGAAGGGTTTTTCTGTAGGGTATTTTTGAAGGGTTTTGAAGGCCTGTGAGGTCCCATAATCCTTCAAGGCTGACGGGTCCTTTAGAAATATTTTCAATAGGGTTTCACAAAACTAGCACGCTAACCTGGTGGTTACATATTCAACCCAGCTTTCAAATCTATCCTCAGGAAACACCACAGTATTTTGTAGCAAAGCCATACACTGCACACTCTTTTTTCGGTGTCACAGGCGTGGTGTATCGACGAGGTGGAAACTTTAAGGACATATCGGTGCACTTAAAGAAACAGGACTTCACGCGTTTCTGGTTGTAGACCTTGATAGACGCCCAGGTGTGAAATTTGTAAATATGTAGACACTACCAATTTTGTAGCTAGTCCCAACTTTGACTTTTCTTTCAAAATTATTGAAAACCTCAACTATAGCACCGGTAACGTTATTTACCGTTTACGCTGTAAACTATGTAAGATGGATTACATAGGAAAAAACATTACGTTTTTCGGTTACGGATTAGTAATCTTAAGTCTCATGTTAAGGCGCTACCCACACTCTCATTCTCAAAACATATGAATCTTAGGGAACACAGAATTGATTAAATACATATCATCCTTCTTGAATCCGGGTTTAGTCCTGATCACAATAGGTAGTTGAAGGAGGCTTTCTTCATTCACAAATTCAATTCAGTTGCTTGTTGGATCAACGCAAGTCAGGGCGCACTCACATGGTTCCATGGTCTGCCAAGGGCCGAGGCAACACAATTGTTTCGGTTCTGTACAGACAGTGCTAGCGGGGCATGTCTATCATATTGTTGCGCCTAAGGCTTCTGCCATCGTGGAACTTATTCCACGCGCCTCGTAAACATCTTCGTGAGCGTGCGTCCCGTGGCAATTTCGTTCCGCTGCGTGAAATGTCTTGGTACGCAAGCAGATTTAAGATATGGCATAAATACTTAATAAAAAGAAACAGCCACAGTACGCTTGCACTGCCTACATCTTCGCTTTCGAAACGGTGTGAATTCGAACGCACCCTCATTTCTCTTTTTTGTGTGCTCTTGTTGCTCGGTTGTGATAGTGCTTATAGACTGTGACAACGACTGTCGCAAAAACTGTGACGGAATTTATTGAGTTACAATGTTTTGAAGTGTTATATTGTTGAAAATTACTATTTTCAATGATTTGACGGGCATTATGTTGCTCATGCTCCAAATATGCATAGTATTCTGCATAGCCACTCTTTTTTTTCCTCAGGAACTTCAACACGAAAAAGATGACATTTTGCACATAATCCCACCATAAAGAAAAACGGTCTCAGCTTGAAACGTCGAAGAATTAAAGGCCCTTCCTGAAACTTCTGTACTTCCGTTTCACGTCCAACTGGCCCGTTCAACATGGTGTGAAAAAGTCCAAATGATTAGGAAGAGAAGCGAGGGGACAGGACAGAGCGCTTACTTACAACTGACAAGTGTTGAAGGAATTAGAGAAGGACAAAAAGGAAGAGAGGGAATAATGAGTGATAAAGAAGAACCATCAAATAAATAACATGGATTTAAGAAAATAATTATCTCTGAGATCCTAACACTAGTGAATTTAGGTCATTTACAACATATAGGGTCTCCCAAGTCACTAGGTTGTATCCAAAATGAACCGTAAAAATCGCCCCCTGCACGAAGCAATCTAAACTTTTCGTCAAAGATGTATTTCAGGGGTCATTTTTTTTCTTGCAAAAAATTTCAAAGTGTAGCATTCTTTACGTCAAAAATAGGGCAAAGAAACTTGCCTTGGTCAACGGAGGACGGCGACGCAAACGATCGAGTTGAGTTGCGTCGCACTTTTGGCGCGCATATTGATAGATGGCGTCGGGAGCAGCGTCCGAAGGTGTAGCCGACCAGCGGAAGAAAGCAGCCAACACGCGGATAACATCCGTCGGCAGCAAAAGCGCCGTCTTTACTTTAAGTTTTGCTTTATTGTCCTCATTAGCTTTTGAACCAAAGGTGCTTAAAAAAAAGGTTATGTTCATTTTAATCAACCACGGTGCTTGCGAGCGGTCTGGATAAGGAGGTAGCGCCATCTGTCAATACGAGCGCCAAACACTCCCCATCAGCAGACTGCGTCGTCTGCGTCACAGCCCGCCGTTGACCCTGGCAAGTTTCTTGGCCCTTTGTTTACAGAAAGGGAGCTACGCTTTTTAATTTTACAAGAAAAAAAAAAGAAAAAAACGTGCAATCCCCTGTAATGCCGAATTGGAGCGCAGCTCTTGAGGAATAGGGAAGGGTACGGAGAGGAGGATATCCTCTCCTCCTCCGTACCCTCTCCTCCTCCCTTCCTCCTCCTACCTCCTAACTCCTCTCATTTTCTTCCTCCCCTCCTTATCTTCCCCTCCTCTTCCTCTTCTCCTCCTGCCTTTCTCCTTCCCCTCCTCCTCCCCCTCCCTCCCTCCCTCGTCCCTCGTGACGTCACTCGCAACCCTAGTAACCCTCGTGACGTCACTTGTGACCCACATGACGTCACTGGTGACCTTCGTCAAGACCTTCACCAGTGACCTTCGTGACCTCACTCGTGACGTCAAAAGGGTCACTCGTGAAGGCCCCGTGAAGGTCATGGTCTTCGTCGTGAAATTCGCGAGTGAGCTTCGTAACGTCACTCGTGACCTTCGGGATGTAACGAAAGTCACTCGTGAAGGCGAAGGTCGTGACCTTCACCAGTGACCTTCGTGACGCCACTCGTGACCCTCGCGACATCACACGTGATGTCGCGTGTGACGTCATTATGGGAACCGTCCCATAATGCAACGCGCGGCTACGCCGACGGCGATGGCGGCGGCGACGCCGCTCAATCCGGAAACGGGCGCCCAAAGAGCTGCCTCTAACAACTGACCTTTGACGAAAAGTTTGGATTGCTACGTGAAGGCGTCGATATTTACGGTTACTTTTAAAACGAGCCTGGTCACTTGGGACACGGTATATATATATATATATATATATATATATATATATATATATATATATATATATATATATATATATATTGAGACGAAGACCTTACAACGGCAAGACGAACAACCTTACCGTCAGCGACCAGTCTGCTCTTACTGCGGCATCGTGGGCCATGTCGCTCGGATTTGTCGGCGCCGACGTCAAGATAACGAGGCTCGCTACCACTACGAGAGCTACCAGCATTCTTCTAGAAGGGACAACTCCAGGGACTATGATGACGGTTTCCGAGACAGGCGTAGTCGTTACTCGCCGTCATCGGACACCATATCGACCACCCCCCACCGACTCACCTCGACGTCGCTCCCCTTCTCCGAACCGCCGCTCACTCTCTACTATGATTCCAAGGTCAGCCGAGCGTTCCGATGCGGGAAACTAGCCGGCGCAGTTTTGGGAGGGGCAACTGCGGTGCGTAATCCCACCGGACACCCTCAGATTGGACCACCGAATGTTGTAGAAGTTGTTGAAGGACTTCACTTACACGCGTTGGTCGATACGGGGGCCGCAATCTCTGTCATACGGGATACTGTATGCACTCAGCTTCGTAAGGTTAGAACACCTCCATTCGTTCATACACTACGTGGTGCTACATCTGAACTCATTCGCCCTAGTGGACTTTGCGCAGCCCGTGTTTATATTTAGGGCTTTCATTATCACATTCCGTTGACAGTATTGCCGTCATGCAGCTACGATTTAATACTTGGTTGGGATTTTCTGCGGTCCGCTGATGCTATAGTCCACTGCGACCCTCCACAACTCTCACTGGGAAACGCGACACACAGTTTGGTTTCTCTAACAATCCCTAATACAAAATTGCGTATTTCAGAAGATGTGGTTGTACCTGGCCGGTCATCGTACGTAGTCAGAGTAGTTTCTCAGACTCCACTATCGGGAAGTGTGTTCGTAACGCCCCTCTCACGCGTCTTGTTGCCTTGTGGTTTAATACCCCGCACCTCCACCAATATGAGACGAAGACCAAGAGTCGACGACCGTTTTTATGTCCGCACTTTTAAGCGTCGAGCGCGCCTCTGCCCGCGCTTCCAGTTCAAGCGCACGCGGGCCTCGTCCTCCTCGGCCACGAAGCTGAAAGACGATGAAGGGGACATCGTGAAGTATACACGTCACAATATATATATATATATATATATATATTAATGGTGACTAGGGCATAATAGCGCGCACTTTTTGAATTGATAGAATCGATCAACATAAATGTTTACATCCGAACAAGACGCTGTGACAATATCTATTATAGGAAGCTCGCGCTTGTGGCGTGAAACTGAAAAACCTAATCTAGGTTTCATCCTGTCAGAGACTAAGCATCACGCAATTCTCTATATTGCTGGAAGGCGAGTATAAGTCATGAGGCAGAGCTAACAAAGGGGCGACGATCTGTGAAATTTGTCTAAACTCGCCGCTATGACGGCTCAACGCACTGTCACACATCATAGCTGCGTAAAAGCTGACCACGACATTATCGTTCTCCTTTACAGTGACATCAAGAAAGGGGCGTTGGAAATACTCGAGCGCACACGCTCGGCCATCCGTAAAGTGGTCCCCTGTGATGTTCTGGAGCCCGGAGTTCTCCCAGAGGAACACAGGGAAACTTTCGACGTCGTTATGTCCGCCGGATGCCTGGACTGTGCCACAACAGATCACGAAGCCTTTCGAATGGCGCTTTTCAACGTGGGAACACTCGTGAAAAATGGCGGGTTGCTTCTCCTTTTGGGGACATGTGGTTTAAAGAGCTACACTGTTGGTAGCGCAGAATTTCCGCACGCGAACTTAACGGAAGGTGCGTTAAAAAAAGCTGTGAAAGATGCTCATTTTCAGATCAAAGATTACCGTACCAAAAAAGAGGTGGGTTTTGAAACTTCAGAGGCATTCATGTTTCTGCTGGCGGCCCGTAAGGCCAAATTCGGCTCATTGGACTAGTTTCGTGTTGTGCGAAATACTTCCCTTTCTTCGGCGCTGCAATTCAACTCACCCCGTGTGTAGTTGCGCAAATAGAGTTTTGATGATCTATCTTCCTAATGAAAAACATATTGAAGATAAATAAAATGTCTCCTAGTTAAGAGGGCGCGAAACCTCTGTTGTTTCTTCTGTTTCAGACTCCAAATGACGCGCGGATCGTTACGTATAGTTGACGCGTGGTTCGTAAATGGCGCCACTATCGGGGGGCGTGAGAGGGCGCAGGCACGCGTCATCTGAGACGCTAAAGAGATCCCCAGCGTGTCGTCGCGGTCGTCATGCGGAGAAACTTTCGCCTCACTCTGACACGAGTCTCTCGATGGCGCGTGAGTTCGGCATGTTCAGCTCTGATTACTGACGGACGTCCATGATCCGCACAGTGGCCGAGACCGGCCACCGTACTGTGTGGTTGCGTAGATGATGGAGCTCGTATGTTCTCGGAGGTAGAATGCCTGAATCTCTGTCTGTGTTATTGTGGAGCCATCTAAGACTGTCGCGTGTGCTTTAGAACACTACTTGAACGCTTTGTGTTTATTGACTAATCGCACCCGAGTTGTGTGTGGGCGGTTGTAAAGGTTGCTGGTCTGGGCATGAGCTTTGCCGCTTTGGAGATGCAGGATAACTGTCGCATGATATTTCTGAAAAGTAAAATAAATAGCTCGGTCGTCTTTTTACGACGTTCTTTCTATAGCTCGGATTGGTATCTGAAATGGATGTACATCAGGGACTTTTCTGATTCATGCTTTGCGGCGAGCAGGTGAGAGTCATGTTAGCATTTTATTTCGGTTAGCACTACGCGATCAATAACAACCGCAGAAAGAAACCTAAATATCTGTTGCTCTCCAAAATGCGTCCAAGGTGCAGATACAAATTTATTTTAAAAATTCATATTGAGACGCGCGACCGCCGGTCGGTAAATTACCTGCGTTAGACTCACCTCTTTAGTCTGATAATTTTTTTTTCAATGTGTTATCTGTTTCAACGCAGAACATGGTTGACCCTAGTGATAACCTTTGGTGGGCTGAAACTATGGATTGTCAGGCATTTAGATAAGTTTTCTTCGCGTATGTGTGTACCCGAATAAATATGTGTTGTCTGTTTTCCGTACTTTGTGATGTAAGAATTGCTGGGGTCAAAAGAGACGTCATTGCTACGTTTCATTTTGCACGCTGACTCCCTATTACATTCGGTGTGCACTGCATGTGTTCAGAAGGAGCGTTTCAAATCGCATTTGTGATCGATATAATACGTTTACTTTGCTACAATGTCAGTCGTATCTTTCTCATCTCAGCCTAGGTTCAGATTCAAGAGTGCACTCGGACTTTGCACCGTAACGTCCGTAATGCGCAGAAAGAAATATATTCGAGGAAACAAAAAAGGATACGATCGAGGTACCACGGTGTTATTGATGTATTCGCAGTTCTCCTGCGAACAGCTATTATCAGCAGCAGGACGAAGAAGGGCGCGCGCTTGCTGAGCGTGGCTCCCCGGACTGAGAAACTCGATCCCTGGTTTCCGACTGTTACGGCCATAGGCCAGTCTTGTTCCTTTTTCTTGTATATATTAAACTTCAGTAAGCCAACTCTGGCTGTTCAAGCATAACAATTGGCGACAGAAGAACACTGTGTGGAGAAGGGAAGGCAGGCACCAGAAATCATTTGAACAACTGAAGGGCGTGTTCATCATGCAGACAGTACTGGCACACTACGACGAAAGAAAATAACTTTTTGCGTCCTGCGACGCTTCGCCTTACGGCGTCGGAGCCGTCCTTTCTCAACGTGACGACCAGGCGCGGGAGGCACCGATCGCTTTCGCTTCACGTACCCTTGGACCAGCAGAACGGCACTACGCCCAGAACGGCACTACGCCCAGAGAGGGCCTCGCAGTGGTGTTTGGAACCCACAAATTCCACAAGTACATCGCGGGAAGGAAAGTGACATTCATCGCTGACCACCAACCCTTGCTGGGCATTCTGGGCCCAAGGAAACCGACAGCTCATGTCCTCTATCCACGGATGACCAGATGGTGCATGAATCTGTCTTCATATGACTACGACTTTGTCTACCGGCAGGGCAAGAACCACCAAAACGCTGACGCATTGAGCCGTCTGCCACTACCAGACAGTGAGGATGGGCCATGGCCGCCTGGTGACATACTAATGTTTGAAGCCTTATCAAGACCACCATCCACAGCCACGGAGATAGCTTGTCTGACTCAGCAAGACAACACTTTGTCTGAACTGTACACCGCCGTACAGAACGGCACAGTGGACAAACGCGAAGGTGGCAGGTTCACGCCATACAAGCGGAGAGCTGCAGCACTGGCACTTCACCAAGAATGCCTTACCTGGTGCTCTCGGATCATCATACCCACGACAGCACGTCCTCATGTCCTAGCGCTTATACACGCAGGCCACAGCGGCATGGTGGCAATGGAGAATTATTAATGCATATTTATAGCTACTGTCGTTCTTCACTGCATAAATATCGCGTAGATGGTCATTGATAGAAACTCGTTGTCAGAAGGCACTACTCGTCACATGCTTGGTGGTTCGGAAGTTCAAAGCTATGTATTTTCGACCTAAATAACTGTGCCATTGTTACAAAAACATAATAAACAACTAAAATTAACAGTAAATGCAAAAATTAAAAGCTGGAGAAAAACAAAAACATGAACAACCCGCCGGAAGTGTTGTATTCTTGCATCTTCAGAGGCCCAGAACTACGAAACAAGTTTCTCCTATCAAAATGTGCACAGGCTAAAAGAAACATGTCCCAGGAACGTGAAATGAAAAAAAAAAAACTAATTTTTTTTTTTATGACGTGCTCAACTTGAGCAATTTTCGAAATCTTTCCCCGTGAATTAATTTATCCCTCAACGTGAAAAAAAAAACAATAAATACATTATTTTCTATTCTGCAGATGGTGATGATATCTACTGTCTGTGGTGTTCATTTAAATGCGATACCTCAAACAATTTAGACGAAAAAAACTACCAAGTTTAGGGCATATTTGCCCGTAGATACATGTTTGGATATTTCTTCGAAACTCGTCTTGAACAACAATAATCACATCTTAAGACGACACTTACCTAGACTATACATAGATAATTCTTAAAAAGTTTAACATATCTACCATAAATAGCTTCGGCGCTTCAAATCTGGCACAAACAATTGCCAAAAACCCGTCGTCCTTCCTCGCTCCTTCGGCAATCGATTTCATTGAAACCAAGCATACCAGATGATTGAGATAAACAGCATTGTCTTTCGTAAGGAATGCGGCACCGCATGTAAAAATGCGAAAAAAAAAAAAACTACGAATGTACCTTACTGCTTGAATCCAAATGAAACCGACCGCCGGTCTTTCGAAGTTCGACGAACTTTGAACTTTTACCCTAAAAGTTCGAAGTTCGTCGAACTTTTGACTTTTCAGGAATCGGAAGTTCGACAATTTTCGATTTCTTTAGATTAATAGGTTCGAAAGTTCGTAAATTATCGAATCTCTCAGCGTAGGAAGTTCGAAAGCTCGAAATGTTTGAAACTTTTTAGTGCAAGAAGTTCGGAAATTCAAGAATCATCGCAGTTTTTATCTATTAAGTTCGAAAGTTCGACAAGCATCAAATTTTGCAGCGTAATAAGTTCGAAATGTCGAAACGCGTCGAATTGTTTAGTTTAACAAGTTCGAAAATTCGATTTCTTCAGTATAAAAAGTTCGAAAAATCAAAATCTTTCGAACCTTTCGACCGCTTGATTCGATCATCGAACCTTCGGTTCGAAAAAAGTTCGCGGCATCCCTATTGGCAATAAAAACTGTCCACTGTGATAGATGTATATGACCTTCAATGTTTAATGAAATTAAGATTTTATCCCGACATAGAACTAAGTATAATCGGAAGACTGACGAAGCTTTTTTTTATTGCACCCAATGACGCGGGCAGGCGCATAATTTTTCCGTCACTTGCCCTGGTTAGTGATGAGATAAATTTTATCAGAAAGCCATGTAGATACGTGTAGCCGCGTGTCGGCTCGATGGGAAGATGACGTGTTATCGGGTCGATTGCTCGTATGTTTATCAGGTTTCAACTTTACATGCTGAATGGCGCAGATGTAAAAATGCAGTTGTAAGTCAGCTCTGTGTCTGTGTTTCCTTTTACTGGTCCTTCGTCTTTTTGCGCTGTTTTAACCCATTCAATATGACCATCAATTAACTCGCTCAACTTTACACCTTGTTGTCTCTTCCCTTGTTTCGTATTCAGACTGTGTCCTCGAAAAGCTGTGTGCTTGCGGCTTGCTAGAGAAGTGGAGTTCGAATCGGGGAGGCCACCCTTATGCTTCAAGATGAGCGGAGCAATCTTCAGTAGTTGCCTGCTGAAGTGGCTTTCTCGAGACCGGTTGCTTTTAGAAAAGAGCATTGAAGTATGCACTTTTAGCTACTCTGAAGCAACGGTCCGCACACTGGGGGAAGCGATAGATATCCTACCGCTAAAGAAGTTAGATATTCTGGTAGTTCACATAGGTGGAAACGATCTCCAGAACCGCGGCAGGGGGTCAGCAGTTGTCCAAAACGTTGTGGTGAGTACACTCTCAGCAAATGTTTGTACCTACCAGGTTCAAACTATTATTTTGCTAATATTTTGCTATTACTATTATTTCCGAGAAATGCTCTTAGTGTCTGTGTATACGTCTTTTTTATTCCTTACATAGCGCGCTTGTTTTTGCGAAGTACATTTACCATCTGGAATTTGCTTTTGAGGAACTGCTCCCGCGTCTCAGGCAGCAGGCGCAGTGTGTTTTTTGTTAAAAACTAATGCCCCATTGTCGGAACAAGGCAGTAGACCCCCAGTTGCGATACTTCAATAGGACACTCCCACGTGCCCTAAAAGGCAACGGGGACGGGAACGTGATCTCCCTGACTGCGGATGTAAGCTGGCACCTTTTTTTTTCATTATTTGTGTATGGCGAAAAT